CTCTTGCAGCGCTCTGCCCCCCCTCCATGGAAAGCACTTCTTGCACACATTGAGGTGACTCTTCGGTTTTAATTTATGGCCATTTCTGCATTTTTTTGTCCTGTGAAAGCGCTGGGAGCGGGTGTAGACGCCTTAGGGTTGTAAGAGACGCTCCCCACCCCGCCGCCTCCCGGGCTCCCTCAGCCGAGGGCGGGAACGCGCCCGGGGCCGCCTCTGGCGGGCGGAGCGGCGCCTGCGCGGCCCCGCGGGGACCCCCGCGCGCGGCGTCTCGCGAGAGGCGGCGCCGGGGCCGCGGCGGGAGGAGGAGGAGGAGGAGGAGGGGAAGGAGAAAAAGAAGAAGAAGAAGAAGAAGGAGAAGAAGGCGGCGAAGGCTGCAGTGCCCAGGCGAGAGGTGAGCGCGGGGCCGGGCAGGGCTCGGGGGGTGCCCATGGGGCCGGGCGGGGCTCGCTGAGGCGGTGCCGCCCCGGGGCCGGGCCAGTTCCCGGTTATGAGCGCGGTGTGCCCCCGCCTGTCTCTCCGCTCTGCCCGCTGCCAGGTAGGGCTCGGCTCCGGCGGGACGCGGGGCTGGGGCTGTGGGGACACTGCCGGCAGATCCCCTTCTCCACACACGTGGTGCCGCCCGGCTCGATCTGGGGGGTTAGCCTGGATTAAAGGAGGACCGGGGGACCTCATCGCTCTCACAGCCACCTGGAAGGTTGTAGGCAGGTGGGTGTCGGTCTTTTCTCCAGGTAGCAAGAGATAGAAGAAGGAGAAACAGCCTCAAGCTGAGCCAGGGAACGATCTGCCCGGAGAGGTGGTGGTGCCACCGTCCCTGAGGTAGATGTAGATGTGGCGCTTGGGGTCACGGTTTGCTGGTGGACCTGACAGCGTRAGGTTGCTCGTGGGACTCGATCCTATAGATCTTTTCCAACCTAAATGATTCTGTGATTCCCTCCGGTGCTGGGCCTGAGGCTGGTGCAGCTCTGCCGGGTGTTGTGCAGCCGCTGCCGGGCTTGGCAGCCGGAGCGATCCCGGGATGCCGGGATGGAGCCGCCTCCCCACGGCACTGCCCGGCTCCAGCGCTGCTCCGCAGGCATCCAGCCGCAAATACTGCTCTTCCAGCCTGAACTTCACCTGCAAAAAACTTCACTRCAGAGCTCAGGCTGAAAACTGTGCCGGAACAAGGTGATGGTAAGGTAACTACAACCAGTGCAGGCGTCGGGGTTGGCACACAGCAAATGTCCCCGAGTGTTCTCGGCCCAGGCTGCAGCACCCGGGCTGCCTGAGGTGCTTCCTGCGATTGTAAAGCCAGGGGTGATGCGTGTGCTGGAAGTTTGTGCCAAAAGTAATGGGTGAATAGGATGTTTTTCGGGAGTTTCCTTCTGAAATTTAAGAAATTKTGACAACTTCCAAGTATGGATATTAAAAAAGAGGTGGCCAGTGCTGCCACGCCTGTATAAACCAGGCTTTGTGGCAGCAATGGGAGGCAAGTTGCTGGCAATCTGCAGATTAGGATGTTCTTTTGCTGGTCTCTAACATACATGTGCTAAGTTGGGATGGAACATGCAATGTTCTGTTTTTTGCTTATACTGTGCATTTATACTGATGTAAGCATTGATGTAATTAGATGGTTAAAACTTCCTTGCTCTGCAAAGGAAGCTTGCTCTGAAGACTTTTGGGTGCTAGACTTTTGGAGGCTGGGCAGAAGCAATGTGTTGAGTTATAGCCAAGTGCAYGAATTTAGTTTCTTGGTACAGAGTCTGTCTGCTCTGGCTCGTTCTCCTGCACCTTTAGGAGATTAAATTGGTTCCACTTTTCTAGAGGTTGCTGATTCCCTAAGCATAGCTGGTCTGTGGGTGCAGAAGGCTGCAGGGATGCAGTGATTCCTGGTTATATGCTTCAAGGGAAACTRTCGATTTGAACTTGATGGGGGTTTTATGTGTTTTTAAAAGTTCTTATTGCACTTCTTTCCATCTTCCTAAGCAGGCAAAATCTAAGTAAGAGGCCTGAACTCCTGTATCTTCTGTTGGAACAAGTGGGCACTGGAGAAGTTGAGGTGATGTTTGTGCCTGGGGAAATACAAAGCAAGAAGGGGCAGGATCTGCACCCAAGCCTTTGAAGGCACATTTTGTTCAAAACCATTGCTGATCACAGAGAAGGGTTATTGTCCCCTGTGTCTGGCACATGCCTTTCTGTAAGCTGCTTTATTTTCTGTAGGTCTTACTGCTTCTGTAAGTGAGCTGGAGTTACTTTGCAAAGAGAGGCTGTAAGAGAATGTAGTTGTTGCATAAAGTCCAGAGGAGAGGAAAAAAGGGACACAAATTACTTCAACTCTTATCTGTCCTGAGAATAAACAGTTACAATCGGGCTGTGAAGTGGAAATAAAGTTTCCAAACCCCYGAGGGGTTACATCTGCAATAGCTTGTGCAATAGAAGTGCTGGGGATACACCCCTGATTTCTGGTGTTAAATGAGACTTTGAGAGGTGGTTGTTTGACACAGCAGGGCATTTGACATGTCCTGGGACCGGTGACCTCAGACCTCAGTGTCTTTCTCAGGCCTGGRATGAGGAGAAAAGTCCTTGGTTCACACCCAGGCCAGGTTCAGGTTGGAAATGGTCACGGGATGGCTGCTCAGGGGACTCTGTAGGATGATTATAGCACTTGGTTCACTTCCCAGTTTGCCAGCACCGTGTCACAGAGGCAGCTTTGTGCAGAGTGTGGTGCACGTTCCTGTTGGCTGGTGACTTTGGGTTGAACTTGAATGTGAATTCTTGGCTCTTTCTGGCAGCTTTTCCTTTTGATTCTGGCAAGGGGAGGACAGAGCCCTCTAATTTGTGCTTTCAGTCTGGTGTCCTTTATGAAGTGTTCAGGAAGGGGATGGGTCACAATCAATAGAGCAGTTCCGTTTTCTGCAGCGTTTTCCTCCAAAGGGGGAATTAAGCTGCCTTACTGCTCTTCTCCAGCATTCTTCCGTGGCACTGGTAGAGTTAATAGAAGTGGAGTCTTTCTGATTCTGTGCTGCTCGCTGCTGTGTCTTGGAAAAGCCAAACTCTCTGGCAGGCCTGTGTGCTGTGTCCTGGAAAGCAGGCTGGAGCCCTTGGGGTGGGTGCGCTTTGTAAAGCTGCATTATGGGGTGGCTTTGAAGAGGATCCCTCTTTCCACTGGCCCCAGGAATGTGAGGGCCACACACAGTGTCCAGTGTGCTCCTGTCACTGCTGCCAGGAGGGTGATCTGTCCCCGCTTGGCTGGGACAGCTTTGCAGGAATGCTGGTAGGCTGCTGTGCTGCTCTGGGCTGTGGAAGCTGCTGGAAATGGGAATAGCAGAGGAGGATGCTCCGTGCAGCTTTCCAGGCTTGCTGCATTCCAGCCAGCCTAGAGGGCTCAAGCAGCGCTGGAAGCACAGCGTGCTGSGATTCTGTGCGCAGTGGGCACCCCATTCATCCAGAATGAGAAGCAGTCCCTGCCCTGAGCAGCTAAACGGGATCAAAAGCAAGAACAGATTTGGGYAAAGCTCAAACCCAGGAGTGTGCCAAGCAGGAGGCTTGGCAGTGTCCCTCCATTATCTTCTGCTGCTGRACTCAGATGCTTGGTCTGAAGTGCTGACGCACATATGTAATTTGCCCCTTCTTTAGCTCTGTGCTGATCTCTCTGGGTGTTTCTTCTCAGATCTGCTCCATCTTCAATCTTGACTAGCTAAACACAGAGAATTACTGCTGAGTAATACCTGCTTCTTGCYCTGCAGAGTGTAAAGCGTTATGTCTGCAGTTCTTCCAGCTCTTCTTCACTGGCAGAATAAGAGCCTGGCTTCGGGAAAGGCACTTTTTGGTGTTTCAGTGCAAAGCCTTGTGTTAGGCTGCAGCTCTGCTGAATTTCTGGCTCTCCCTGCTTCCAGAGTGTAAATAAATACATCAGGGTGGAGAAACCATAAGCCTTTCGGATATGTTTTTTGTGTCTTGGGACAAGCTGACCTAATACTTTGACATGTAACAGTATCCGGTATTGTTCCTGTTTGTTACTAAATTCWTGTCTAATGTGTGAAACCTGGACTTTGGTTGTTAAAACCTGGCACACTCCTGAGGCACAAGCACAGCCATGCAGGGGTCTTTTTACCAAGTCATGCACTGCAAGGCTGCAGTGACTTCAGAGTTGCTGAGCACCTTTCCCGTGGGAGCTCAGCACTTTTGCATATCTGGACTTGAGTTCTTCTGCATCCCTGTGCAGTGTGGGGTTGATGCTGTTTAAGGGTGGTGTGAATTGGCTGGGGAGCAACCTCTGTGTTTTGGGAAGAAGAAACACCCAGCCTTCATTTAAAAAAAAAAAAAAAAAAACTTTTCAGGGCAGCTTGCCCTGAAGTGGCTTTGTTTTCAGATTTTGTTTGCAGGATTTGTTCTGAAGTCACTGGAAAGATTTGGGATGTCTGTGGAAAGGGCGGCTCTTGTTTTTTATCTGTCAGTGCTGTTCTGTGTTTATAATCAGAGCCTGGGCTGTGCTTGGAGGGGAGGAAGACATTGGAGTGATTACTTGTAGCTCCTCACTTTGCTGTGTTGTTTCTCCCTGGCTGTAGACATTGGCTCCTTGCTGGCTTGGGGCTGGGAGTCATGGAAAGCAGATAACAGTGAAAAGATGAGGCTGGTTGAAGAAAAAAAGTCCCAAACCTTCAGCCCCCCTCAGAACAGATGATCTGAACTGCCCCTTTAACAGTGATTTCTCACCTGCCTTCGGTGATCAAGAGTTGTCAGTGTTGAGTGTGATAGAAATATAAATTACATGAAAGCAGGAAAAGGGGTCCTGACTCAACAGTGGCTAGGCAGGAACACAGATTTACCAGAGCATCCTTAATCTCTGAAATCATTCAATTAAAAGTAATCACTCCTTTAGATTTTTATTGATGTGTGGCTCTTATCAGGAGTGTATCCCTTTGTGGGGGTTTGTAGGAAAACTCTGTAATCTTTGTTGCTGGCAGAAATAGCACCCAAGAAAGGTGGTGGAGATAAMGCCTTCTGTGTGCTTTCACACAGGGTAGATAAGATCGTGTGTTCAGGTCAGTGATGTTCTCTCAGCAAGGACTTGCTTTAGCCACTGAGGCAGTGACATCTCCAGCCCTATTTTCATAACTCCAATAAGGAATTTGTTTTCAGCACAGAGCCCCTTCATGTGGACATGAGACCACAGTGTGATACCACAAGCTAAAATCGTRGATTGAGCCTTCTTTTATCTTGTATGTTAGATATGTGTAAAAATCAAGGAGGTCTGAAAGGTAATTGGCTCTGCATACTTTCTGTGTGTAATTGTGTATTTTAACACTGTCAAACTTGCCTCTGTAAGCTCTAGGTTGAAATAATTATATCTTTCTAATTTTTTTAAATTCAGACAGAGCTTGTCTTGAAGTCACATCACTCCAGAAACTCAAGAATGATCAAAAGCTATGATTGCTATGAAACTGATAAAATTTCAACACATTATGTCTGGTTTTGGCCAGCCAGCTCTTTTCCAGAGTCTCTATGGATGTCTTAGACACTCACAGGTCTCCCCATGTGGAAATTAAGATGGTCAGCCTCAYGAGAAATTTTGATTCTGCCAGGTCGTTCTCTCCAAACCAGCAGGATTAAGGGTTCAACTAACTTTTCTTTCCTCATACCTTCCCAGGCTCCTGCTGTCCAGCACCATGCTGCATCCCAGGCCTCACTCTGCAAGCCAGAGGTGAATCCAGGTGAAAGCCAGCTACCACAGCAGGTGCCAGGATGACCAAAGCGCGGCTCCTCCGTCTGTCTGTGGTGCTGGTGTCCATCTTCATGATCCTCCTGATTATTGTGTACTGGGACAACGTGGGAACGGCTCACTTCTACCTGCACACATCCTTCTCCAGACCCCGCTCCCCAGGAGCCGTCGGGGCAGGTGAAGAYTGGGAAGCCTTTCCAGATGTAGATGAATTTTTGGCAAAGCTTCTTAGTTCGAGCCTGAAACAGAACAGCTCCATCCCCCGAAAGACAGAGCAGCTCCTCGTGCAGGGCTCCAACAAGCCCCTGGTAAGTAACTTGGAGGAGAACGTGCGGGGCTATGACTGGTCCACACACAAAGACAGGAACAGCTTGGACCAAGAGAAGCTGCAAGTGGAGAGGCAGAGAACATTGCGTGAGTTCTGTGCCAATTCCAGCTTCACCTTCCCCACCAAGGAACGCTCTTTCGATGATATCCCAAACTACGAGCTCAACCACCTGATTGTGGACGACCGCCACGGYGTCATCTACTGCTACGTGCCCAAGGTGGCCTGCACCAACTGGAAGCGTGTGATGATCGTGCTGAGCGAGAGCCTGCTGGACCAGGGCGTCCCRTACCGGAACCCTCTGGACATCCCCCGCGAGCACGTGCACAACACCAGCACCCACCTGACCTTCAACAAATTCTGGCGCCGCTACGGGAAGTTCTCCCGGCACCTGATGAAGATCAAGCTGAAGAAGTACACCAAGTTCCTGTTTGTACGAGACCCCTTTGTCCGCCTCATCTCCGCCTTCCGCAGCAAGTTCGAGCTGGAGAACGAGGAGTTCTACCGGCGTTTCGCCATCCCCATGCTAAAGCTCTACTCCAACCACACCAACCTTCCCACCTCCGTTAGCGAGGCCTTTGGGGCAGGCCTCAAAGTCTCCTTTTCTGACTTCATCCAGTACTTACTGGATCCCAGGACAGAGAAGATGGCCCCGTTCAACGAGCACTGGAGGCAGGTTTACCGCCTGTGCCACCCGTGCCAGATAGACTATGATTTCATTGGAAAGCTGGAGACTCTGGATGAGGATGCTGCTTATTTATTGCAGCTCCTCAAAGTGGACAGGCTGCTTCGCTTCCCCCCCAGCTACCGGAACAGGACTGCCAGCAGCTGGGAAGATAACTGGTTTGCCAAAATCCCGCTGGCTTGGAGGCAGCAGCTCTACAAGCTTTATGAAGCGGATTTTGTACTCTTTGGCTACCCCAAGCCAGAAAACTTGCTTAAAGACTGAAAGTGATTGGGCAGTGGGTGTGGGAGGGAACATCTGAAATACCAAAAATGTTTAAAGCCTCCTCATTTTTGCTCTTAACTCCCTTCCCAACGCAGGTTGGTACAATGGAATATATTTTTTCTACTGCTTCCCCTTCCATTTTTGCAATAATGCCAGAGTCCAGGGTATTCCAGCCAGGTGTGCATATGCAAAAAAATGCCATTTTTTTTGGTTATAATTTGTTTTCTGTTTTTTAAAATGTTCCCATACTTTGCAATGGGTCGCTGTCCTTGATCACTCTGCCAATTGTGTCCTTCAGTAGCTTTTTATTAATACTTTTTAAAAATTAATATATTTAAGATATTTAAAACAAAGCGTGTGTCGTGGCAAAGGAAGGGAAGGAATAAAAAAAAATCAAGTAAATGAAAACCCCAAGAAATTATGTACCTGCCTCTTGTGTGTTGTCTCAGGGCTGCTGTTTCTGAGGTTTGCAGAGCACTCAGATCTTTGGGGGTTGGGATGTTGATGGTGCCAGGTCTGCTGGTGGTTGCTCCGAGCTGGGCTYGAGGCAGGGGGGTGGGTCAGTGCCTGACTCTGCCAAAAAATCCTGGAAAAACACCTGGAAGGGCTCTGGTGACTCACGCTGCTCACAGGTGCAGGAAGGAAATGGCATTGGGAACAGTGACAAGTCCTGTGGGGTGTTTGGGGCATGCAGGTGGTCAACACAGCATCCCTGCACTGCCTCACGTATGGCACAGTACTGTGGGACTCTGCTGTCCAAAAGGCTGAGGTTCAGCCCCCTATACCATGACATGTCCTGTTCCAGAGGTTGTGGCCAGCCAGGGAGGGCAGAGTGTGCTCCTGGATGGACGAGCTGGCCAGACCCTGGTGGTGTGCTGCTCCATGTCCTGGTCCCTGCTGTGTGCACTGCAGGTCCTTGGGAGCTCTGCTGTGTCCTCATCAACCCCGTGCACACTTTAAGGGGACGTGTCAGGGATGCAGATGCTTATCCCTGGGAGAAGAAGATCCRAAACGTTTCTTTCAATAAGCAGATATCAAGGTGAGCTCAAAGATTCTCTGTTTTCAGCATTCCAGCTACTGCTCATGGCACTGCATCCTCATCCACTGCTTTTCTTATTCCAAATGGCTGATGCAGATTTGATCATCTGCCTTGCTGGGACCTGCTGCAGGAGTGATGGTTCCCACTGTGCTGGGAGCATGTGGGCTGCTTCCCAAAGGAAATTAATGCCTTTAGAGACTTTTTGTATCTCATCAGCTGAATTTGCTTCTCTTTCTCTCTCTGAATTGCTCTGCAAAAACTGTTTGCTTAGCAGATTAGGCAGGCAACTCTTTCAGAGCTGAAATGCTTAATTATTTCCCTGTGCTGTGGATGGTATCAGTGATCCAGGGTCAGGCCTTGGGAGGCAGCTCTGTGTTTTAGGGAGATTTCTATATATTGGCCTTTTACACAGCTTCTTCTCTCCAAGGCCATCAGCAGCTGTGACTTTTCCCCTCTCTCTCCTCATTTYCCCAATTTCTGTGCAAGTACATCATGGCATTCTGTGCTTTTCCTAACAAATTTGCTGTATCAAGCCTTTTAACCTATAATTGAGAGGTAATTGCTGGTAGTTACACTCTAAACAAAGGGTTTGTTTCTCATTGTATTCACACCACTCTCYTGTAATTTTGCAGAGATATTTGCAGTTTAAATGAGCCTGAAGCCATCATCAGGGTCTTGGTGCTTAGCTCCTTAGTAGCTTGGGGAAAAAGGAAGGCCTGTTTCTGAGTCATTATTTAAAACTAATAATAGAAAAGTGTTGATCCATTCAATTTTTCTCCCAGTTACCAGCTAATTGCTGCAAAACAGAAAGATGTAGAGTCTAGTCTCCTATAATGAGTAATCCCGGGAGTCTCTTGATTCCTGCTACATTTACATTTCTTCAGGGTGGGTTCATCTCACTCTTCAAACACAGCATGGATGTTTTCATCTCTTGTCTTTTCCAAGTGTTTGTTTTTTCCTCTTTTAATTTCCACRTAATTTGTGTTTGGTAATGCAGGCGTTGGGGGCTGGGACCACAGCTTGGATTCTGTTCACGCTTCCTCCCAGCTGCTTCCTCCTGACCTGCTCCTCTCTCTTCCTGCCCCTCTGACCAGTGTTTAYATCCCAGTGACACCCTTCAAACCAGCTCTGCCTCCCCAGCCACACTTGCCCCKTGATTCTTGGCCACTGCCTGTCCCAGGCAAGAGCCCAGCAGCACCTTTTGGAGGTCACTGGCTGGCAATCATCCAGGGCAGGGGGGGAATGGGTTGCAGAGCGTTATCATTTTTGGCAGCACGGTTCTGGTTCTGCAGTGGGCAGAAAAGGTGTGAAATGGCTGAAAAACCTGCCCAACAGCTGCTCTGTGTGATGTGAGGGAGTGTCCTCTCCGTGTGGCTGCCTTGTGATTTAACAGCACAGAAGGAAAAGGCCTCCTTCCCCTGCCRACACTGGCTAGACAGGGGAGGCTTGGAACACACTGATTTCTCTTTCCACATCCAAACCTGGATAAAATGAGTAAATTCCAGCTTTATGTGCTAATACCACCCTGCATCATGTTGAGGTCCAAAACACCCCAGTGAGCTGCCTGCCTCCCAATGGCTTCATCAGCCTCCCTGGGAGCTGCAGTGAGGACAATGTAGGGATGGCAGGAGGCCTCTGGGGGTTCTGTCTTCTCTGCTTTCCTTCTTCCACCTCACCAAGTCTAGCCTTTATTGATATCTTAGACATTTCAGACACATCCCCAAGCAGCGTGCTGCGTGTTGTTGGCTCTCTCCTGGTTTTCCATTGCCACGCTTCAAAGCTCTCCCCAGGAGGAGCAGTAAAACTCTGCTGGGGAGTGTTCATGTTGCAGTGGTTGGCTTTTGGATTCAAAATAACTTGCTCCTTGCTGCTCCTCCCTTTTGAAGCTCTTCTTCCCCACCCTGCCACCACTGTGAATGTATTGTTGAGAAGTCAAAGGGGATCCAGGCTGTGCTGAGCTTTGTGGTAAGACCACTGGCTTGCCAGAACTGGGATAGAGCCTCTGGCTTTGGAAATGTGCATTTTTTGTGGGTTTCTTTCTCTGTTCTCATCATGTGAAAGTGTGTGTGTGTGGGGAGAAGGACAAAGAGTTCAACCAGCCATGCATCCTTYCCTCCTGGTCCCCTAAAGGAGTTGGAATTTGGTATTTGACAACAAATGGCAGGCAGAATGCATCCAGAAGTCAGAAGAGGGCTAAAAATCCTGCAATGTAGATGTTTATGATGCTTGTATCAATTTCATGAGGGGTGGAAAACGCTTTGAAGCAGCCTGTTTGTGTCTGAATAAACCTGGCTTTGTCATTTCATGCTCAGCCTGCAAAGCCGTGTCCTGTTCCCCCTTGGCTTGCTTTTCCCTGGGGTTGACCACTTGGCCAAAGTCAGCACRGAGTCTCTAACGAGGCAGAACTGATGTGCAGATGCAAAAATAACCTGGGGTTTGACCAAGATGTTTCCAGCTGGGTAGAACTGAAACCAGCTTTAGTGCTTGTTCAGCATCRGAGCCAAAATCTTTACACAACCATTGAACAGATTTGGTCCCTCGCTGTTTCCACCGGATTCACTGGTGGAGTGGGATGCATGTGACCTGGCTTTGCAGCCYGTGTCCTCCAGGAAAGGGCTGTCAGAACTCTTTGCTTTCTGAGCAGTGACATGACTTTGCCAGGGTAGAGGTGYCCTTAACACATGGGTACCTTTRCATCTCTGTTTYTTGCCTTAACCCTTTAATTCTCTTRTTTWTCGGGRGACAAAATCACAGAACCATCACCCACGGGCAACACTCACCCTGTGGGACAACGTGTGAGATTTTGGTTTGGCTGTGTGTTTTGCATCCTCCAAGGTGGCACTGGGAGGATGGAGGGCAGGGGATGAATGGCAGCATTGAAAGGGTGGTGAAGAAAAGCCAGTTTGTTCCTCCTTACGTAAGCTGGACCTTCTGAGTGCCCGCGGGGGAAAGCCGGTGACTTGGCAGGGTGCTGCGGGGCTGTGGTGCACAGCGGTGCCAGCGAGGGTGTGGCATGTGGTGGCTCAAAAGCAACTCGTGTTGCTTGAATTTAAGGGCTTGCCCACGCTGGTCTTGCTCATAAACCCTCTAGTCAAGGGCGAGAGGGAAAAATAAAGCAGGATTTAATAAAGCCATTGATAGCTGGCTGTTTGGGAAAGAGATGGGGAGGGTGAGCTGGCATAGGGCAGCTTTTCTCTGTCCTTGATTCAATCAAATTTGGGATGGAACTCACAGACTGTGCAGGCTGAGGTCTGCCCTTGCAGGAGATGGGGAGCATTTCCCTCTGCCATGCTGGGAGTGATGTGGAAGAGCCCTGTGCTGGGATGGGAGGAATGCTGGAGAGCTCTGGATGGGATGGGAGTGATTCCTCTCCCTCTCCCTCTCCCTCTCCCTCTCCCTCTCCTCTCCCCTCCCTCTCATCCTCAGACTGTGCCAACATCAAAATATTCCCAGTCTTGCCCAAACCATGTGTTCAACAAATGAAGGAGACTTCTCCTGACCCACCAGGCAGTGCCTTCACAAATTCCATGTTTTATCCCCCAGACAGAGGGATCACACGCAGCTTTGGCAAAGCCACATCTTGTGCCAGAGAAGCTGCAGTGTCAGTGTTTATTTCTCTGTCATTGTAGGAATTCAAAATGGACGGAACAAAATGCCATTGGGATTGACTCTTGTTTTGTTTGGACACTACACAGGTCTCTGTGGAAAACATGGGAGGAGTGCAGGGGACAGAGAAGAGCCAGGAAGATGTGTTAAAAGGGCAGTGGTGGCCAAAAGACTGGTCAGCAGGGAGTGGAGCAGGGCTGGGAATATGTTTCTGAAGGATAAAAAGTGGGGGGAGTGCAGGGCACCTCTAAACAACCTGGGGATCCTGTGGAGTGGGTAAATGCTGAGGTGAGTGAGGGGGGCTGCTGAGAATCCATGTGCCATCTGCTGCAGCTCAGAGACCTGTCCTGTCTGCTTTTCCAGGGGGAAGCAGGAGCCAAAGTAGAGAAGAAGAAATAATTGAATAATGAGGTGGTGAAAGCTTGTCAGAATGCAGCAGGCAAAATCCAAGGGGGTCTGATACACAATGTGGGCACCGAGTATCTGAAATTCCTGTGTCTTCGTGAGTGGTGGTGGGAGCTGAAGGCTTGGATCCAACATTTGTTTGGCGAAAACTAAAAAGAGTGGTATTCCAAGGTTCTGCTTGCCTGTGCCGGGGCACAAAGGCTTGCAGCTCAATCAGCTGTCAGTCTCTGCAAGCAGAGCACAGTCCACAGGGGGTGGAAGTGCAGGAGAGATGGGGCCAATGACCTTTCACATGTTATTGGGCRCTTCTGTCCGTCTCCAGTTATCCTTTCCCTCAACCTTTGCGTGCCTTATTGATTTCTGACTCTGTATATTTTGTGTCTTGGGTAAATCAGCAG